TTGATGCCTTCATGCTGACATTCACTCGCAGAAAATCTTTTCCCCAAAGCCTCCCTTTCACTCCGAGCAGCTCTCTCCTTCTCTAGTGTGCTTTATTTCTCATCTCAATGCATTCTGTTCTTTCCTTGTTTCTTTTCTACCTCTCATCTTCCTCTTTTTCCCAGGGTTCCCTTGCGTACATTTAATAACACTCAAAGACGTTAAAAAATAAAACTATGCATTTATTGACCTGCTTGCACCTGCAGAATCACGCTTCTTATGCTGAGCTAGCTGTAATGTAACATCATGAAGCACTGTAGATGTGGTTTAATGTTGGTTATATTTCCTGTTTATGTACTAGCTGTAGGAATTAGTGCAGGAAAAATGTCAGCCATCTAAATCTCCCCGTAGTTTTTTGCCAAATGAGAATCACTGCGTCAACAACATCTGACGCTTTGGTTGCAAGTTTCAAAACCGAGACATAGGTTTAAGTCGAGCCACTGAATCTCATCACAATGTAAATTCAACTTCGGCAAAAACTATGTTTCTCGAGGCTTTATCAATCTACTTTATAACGGAAATGAATATATAAAAACGTATATATTACTATGAATGTTTGTTTTTTCAGCAAAAGGCTTATACTAAAAACTAATCAACATAAGGGGTCACAGTAACATCTGCGCTTCACCTGGCTCTTTGATGTAGGTGTTTTCCCAATTTCTTTACACTTGCTGCACACTGCAATCATCCCTTTCGACCCAAACTGCCTCCTCTTGTCTCTCCGTCCTCTCTTGATGACAAATACTAGCCATCCCCCTGCAGCTCTTTCTGTCTGAGCTGACTCCTGCACCCGGCCATGTCAGGCTTCACAGGAACTCCCCGCAGGCTGCTGCCGTGACTAATTCTGCAGCGTCTAAAGCATAAAGATACATTTATCTTGTGTGGCACAGAGCCAACATTTTAAAATTCATAAACAGAGATACATGCACAGGAGTGCTTGTAGAAAAGTGCATCACTATCATCAACACACACACACACACACACGAGCAAAAAAACTCATTCCTAATCTGTCCTCCTCCACCTCATCCCACCCTCTTTCCAATCTGTGGGCTGTCAAGCAAAGTGTCACAGGGTGAGCATTAGTGCCAACCCTCCCTGTAGTCCTTTACCTCCCATTGACTATATCTAGAGTCACTCAGCCGAGAAACACAAAATGAAGGAATGGAGAGAACGGCAGCAAGAACAGGAGACGTTAATGCCCTCAAAAACTCTCCTGAAGCAGAGGCAGGGAGGGTCTATTTACATGACATATCCCCTCTCAGAGGCACATGTGAGTGTGTTATTAGGCTCCTCAGAGATGCTGTGTGTGTGTGTGGGGGAGCTATAGTCATCACTGCTCAGAAGCTGGCTGCATAAAATACCTGGCAGATGTAACCTGAGGGTTTCCGCATACAGACACAAAACACACAGAAAGAGAGAGAGGTTGGCTCCATTTTCATCATCACTTCGCCTGAGAATCTGAGCCCTGAGTCACTGAAAGACCCCGGTGCCAGGTCTGTTACCTCTACACGAGGCAGAAACAAGACAATACAGAGAGGAGCAGACGGTCAGGGAGGCCACAAAGAACACAGAGCAAGCTGTCCAACAAACACACAAACACAGGCGTATACCCACAGATGAAAAAGCAGAAGAATAGGAGGAGAGTAGAAAGGGCTAAATAAGATTCAGGGATGTGAATTCTTGTATTGCACATTTCCCTACTGGGTTTTGTCAAATAGACCAAAAAAACTACCAAATAGAAATATAGGGAGGCTGTTGAGCGACACATACAGATTACCAAAGTTTCTGTGTAAGTCAATGTATGACCCTATAGTCTTAACCCCTCTCTTTTAATGAAGCCCCTTACATATTCCCCAGTACTGTCCTTCTCTCAGCTAAATGGTGGGTTTACAAAGGTCAGTAAAATGATTGTCCAAACAGATGCAGAATGTCACATCTCTCCCCAGAGCTTGGATAACTTGCTGAAATATAATGACAGGATTAAGATCCTAAAGTCCAGCTTATCAGCCTAATCAAAGAGATTTTTAATGAGCACTGCAAAATATACATTAGAAATAATATTTTACGAAATTGAAAATGTATTTCCGTGGCTAAGAGGATGAATGTTAGCCTTGGGAGATCTCAGATTAGTTATTTGTCTTTATACTCGTGTTTTCAACTATTTTTGGAAGTGCTGTTGGGGTAATTACGAGATAAGTAGAGGAATAAATGGGCTGGTGGATAATCTGTGAAGGTCTGACAAGTTGTAAGATATGAACACTGTTACAGAGAGAAACGGAAAGAAATGACGAACCGACGGACTAAGGAATTGTCAACGCGACTGAGAAGATCTAACAAGTTATTCTCACAACACTACTAGCTACTGCTGTGGGCTAGGCTGGCTAGGTGTTGCATTCATTCTGCTAAACTGGCTTTCACTCACTCAGGAATATAGTTTTGTTCCCCTCTATTGGAGCATGTCGTGTTGGCAAGTGTTACATATAATATTGCCAATGAGAAAGACAGAATCTGGCATGAGGAATGTTTACAGAAGTGTGGTAATTGCAGTGTTAGAAGAAGATCCTTTACTTTAGTAAGTACCACAATTAAATAGTAAAAATACTTATTACAAGTAAAAGACCTGCATTTTATATCCTACTAGAAATACTAGTATTATCCGCTCATTTAGCAGACACATTGCCGCTGTGTCTAATGTATCTATTTGATATACAGTTAGAAAGTTGACTGCAGTGGTTCCCAAAATAGGGATCATGCCTTTGGACTTTTATTCTGTAATGTTTATTAGAGCTCTTTGCCTCAAACAGTTATTTAAATGAAACCATTTGAGAGGTTCAGTGGGGAGATATCTTTGGTATGTTATCTTGTTGTATCATAAGTTTCTGATGTAATGTTTTTATATGAAAAGTAGTAACTTCACCTGGCAAATTAATGTTGTGGATTAAAATGTACAATATTTCCTGAAATTGGCACAATATGGCAATACTGAAGTTCAAGTTCATACAAAATGTACACAAGTGTAGTGATTCAGTAGATACTTCACAGTTTGTTGTCAATATTGTAATGAAAAAGACATGAGCGTTGGAACATACTGTACAGCAAGATCAGGATCTTTCTCACAACATCATCAACACTAATACAAAGGTGCAGGGAAAGGTGTTAGGAGGGTAAATCTACAGCAGCAACACTTCAATGTGAGATAAAAAAAAGTGTTTTCAGGTCTCATTAAAACACCTTGTTACCACGGCAACATTGTACTTCATCTGGCGACTGTTGCTGAAGCAGTTTTGACCTCTAAAGAGCATACCAAACTTACAAATGAATACATGAGACTTGAATTATTCGGCGTGAATACAACAGTTTGATTACGTTTTCACAAGATATTATAAAAAAGGTGGATTACGACTTACTGTTGGGCCTCCAGAAGATTATTTGGCTTTTGCTTATCTTTAATTGGAAAGACATCCATGATTACCTTTATCACACATCACTCTGCCTCTCATACAGTCCCTCTGCTTCCCTACATGCTCCACAACCAGATTTTCAGGCAGATATATCCATCCCAGTTTAATTACACCGCGGACATCAATTATCACATTCTGTGCATTGAAGAGGGTGTGTGACAGAAGGTGGATAAAAACTCAGTGTTAACCTCAAGAGGATGTTTTGAAAGAGAGCAACATTATGATCTGCTTTCAAATGCATAATTAAGTTTCACATAGATTTCCATTTGATTTGTAGCAGTACTTATTATAACTATGAATCATGTGGCTTATTGGCCAAATACAGAATCCGATATATGAGGCACTAGAGCGGTGCAGTGATGACGTAATATTGTAGGCCGACGCCAAAAGTTAGCATCTTATTGTTGAAAAAAAGATCTGTGGTGAAAACACCTTTATGATACTTACATGTTTTGTTCAGCAGGATAATCACCACATTATAACAACACTTTTATGATTTGTTAAGTGTAATTGCAATTGCCTGAAGTGAAACACTAATGTTGGGCTATAAACAAACTGCATAACGTTTGAATGGCTGTGCATCAGCACCGCTAACCTAAACAATTAGTGTTTGTGTAATTTAGTAACTTGTAAGCACCAGCTGTTTTTATGACACATAGAAGCGTCGGATATTCCTGAAAGGGGTATTTACTGAAATGTTTTTAGTCGTAAAACAAATTGGAAAATTCTTTAAAACTGTGTTAACCAAAGACCTTCTTTTAGGGATTTGACCCACACAGGTTCAAAGTACTGTTGACTTTGACATTGGGGGAACTGGTAACTCATTCCTGCACCACTCTTTAAAGGTCCCCTATTATACTGTTTTTCATCAATATATTTTAGGTCTCAGATATATACAAAACATGTCTCTGAAGTGTTTGGCTCGAAATACTAAACAGATCATGCATTGTAGCATCCCATAAACCCCTCTGTTTCAGCCCTGTTTCAAAAGTGCTGATTCTCTGTCTGTTACTTTAGATGAAAATAAGGAGCCACTCCCCACGCGCCTCAGAGAGATATTTGGTCAAGAAGAACACAATGGTGCTCTAGGAGGGAATTCAGGTGATAAGATGGGGGGGGTTACCTTGGTTGGTGATTGGCTAATGGTTACACAAGCCAAAAAATCGTTATGACATCATAAAGTGGCCAAAATCTGATCAGCTCATTTTCAGACAGGTTTTTTATATAAATGGATCAGGACAAAAAGTGAGTGAATCTTTTTTCCTGAAACTCTCAGAATCTCTTTATACAGAGAGGACACATGTTTCTGTACAAAGACATGAAAAAGTGGATTTTGCATAATAGGTGACCTTTAAAACCAGAAAGTGTTAATAGGCTCCTTTGCGACAGAGAGATTGGTGAAAGAAGTGTCGGGGACTCGGTGCAGATGATTATACAGAGTTATGAACTGCACACAGTCAGTCAGGTGACAGGACTGCCTACATTTTGATGAGGACTCACCACAGCCCACAGTTTGAAGCAGAAGGAGGGCCAGCAGGGGCTGCAGTCCACACCCAGGCAGAGCGCCCTGCATCCTGCTGCACCTGGAGACAGAGAAGAAGAGAGGGAGGGAGCGTGAGTACACGAATGGAAGTGAAAGCAACACATTGCCCTTGTGAGGCTCGTCTGACACACACAGCAGGCTCAGATGAGTCACCAGTTGCAATTCCATTTCATACGATTTTTTTTTTTTCTCAAAGAGAGCCTTAGGATAGCGGGCAGTCGATTCATTTTTCAGTTTAATTTACCGTTTCATAATGTGGGAGTGATAAAGTCCTCTGGAGCGCTTTGAGACTCTAGCTGTGATTAAAGGCTTGTAATGGCTATACAAATATTCTTCACTTAATGTGACCATTGTGTTTGATCTTTTTCAAGTAGAATAAAGACAGTTTCTCTTTACTTTACAGACAAATACCATCCCTAATGAAACGTAATAAAGGATTCATTCGTAATGTCTGTACCACTTATTTCCTCTCAGGATCACAAGGTTAAAGCTATCCCAGCATGCACCTGAGAGAAGGCCGAGTCAAACAGACCGGCAACTAGACTGGCAACTTTCCCAGTGTTTCATAGACGCAGATGTTCACTTTATACCCTTGCTGTCCAAAACCACCTGGCTCACATGTCTTTTTCAGATCTACACTCACATGGAGCCCTTCGTGTTACAACACTGAGCCACTATCTTCAAAGATAACATTTGATAAAAAAAGTTTAAAGCATCTTCACTAAGGTACCGTCATTGTAAAAGTTAGATTTTGTGTAACAGAGCTCCCGCCAGTGTTTGAGACAAAATATCTGGAAGGAAAATCCAATAAAAGGTTTGCTTTTTAAATAAAAGCTTGTTTGTTGATATGCGGTGTGGGATTAACAGAGAAAACCAACTCAGCTGTGTGGCGAAAAAACAAGATTGTTTTTGGCAAAAACAACGGCACAACAGAGAAACTTACTGATGCATTTCCTCCATAGAAACAGCCCGATAAAGGCATGAGAGCCAAATCTAACATGATGGACTTCTGAATTCCCTTGTTGCACACAGCATGCTGAAAACTCTGCCAAGCAGATACAAATATCAAAGCTGTCATATTAAAACATAGAAAAATCTCTATTTGAGAGCCAGGTTGACAGGAGCCGTCTATGGTATGTCTGCATAGATTTGATTTTCTTGGTCTTACACACCCACCTTGTTTTCCCTTTAATTCCCCAAAGAAAGTGACTTGTTTTGACGCGGAGCAAAAACAAATAGATCTTGAAGTGACTATCTCAGTGTAAATCATGGGGCTGAATATTTCTTAGCCATAATGTATTCAGTGTACTTTTTTTTAATCTGTCTAGGGGTTTGGCTGCTGGTAGTGGAGATGCTGGACACAGATAGCCAGTGTCAGTGACAGCAGTGTTGGTCACTCTGATTCAATCTCAAAGGTAGCCAAGGACAAAAACACTAACCCTGTACCAGACACCTCTGATGTGTCACGGCTGAATGGAAGTGCGTGTGCGTGTGCGTATGTGTGCCGATTTTCATTTTTTGTGCAGATAAAAGTCCCATAACTTCACATTAAGTCCCTTTAGGGGTTTAATATAAACTACAACTGGTTACTTAAATGTAAGTATTGTACTTCAATATAGGGCAATTATTGCTATAATGGACCATTTAGGAGGAGATTGATTTTATGTTTGTCTATTGTCCACGATTTTTCTTTATTTCTTTCTGTTAAGAAGATGGTGTGTGTAGAGGCACTGAGGGTGACATATTGGCCTCTTTGGTGTGACCTTTGTTTGCTACGAAAAAGGTTGCTTTATTAACAGCAGTCTTCACACCTCAAAGAAGCACTTTTGGCCTTACTGGTGCAAGTTTTGTTCTAAGCCTTACATACGTTTTGGTTTAGTAGTGTGTTTTCCTACTTTTAACTGACACTTACATTTTTTATTTACCACAACAAGTGAGGCTCTTAACTGCCAACTAAGATTACTCTGACAAAGACTAAAGAGGACATCATTCAAGTATAAAAGCAGAATTCTGGTAAACTGGCAAGAGTTTCTCATCATGGTGAAATGTACAGAAAACATTGGCTACCTCAAAGGTATGAAAACACAGTCTACATTTAAAGCCATGTGTACAGTTTACTATGGAAAACCGTTGGAATTATTTGGTTTACTCAAGTTCCTGTTGAAGTTTCTATAATTGTCATAACAGGGTTATTTCATGACTAAGTTCAATCTGTAAAACTTTGTAACTGTAGTCTTTCTAATTTGTTGCTTTGTGGCAGGGAATACATTATCATGGGGGTAGTCCTAATTAGTGTCAAGATGCAAAACAAGCTTAATATTACATTTGATAGTGTGTTTTTTTTGTTGCCAATATAAGGTTAAATGTTGTACTACCACTATGATACATTTCCATATATATTAGAATGTGTTAATACCAACTGCATAGCTTCTCTCTCTTTAGGTCATCAATAGCAGATACTCAAGGGTCAGAGTCGTGTTTACTGTGATCTTGCTTTTATACTTCTCCATTAAATTTTCGACTCAACATCATCTTTATAGCACTTTATAGTGAATTGAAAATGCAACAATATAATAAGCTTTTACTGTTTTTTCTTACCTTACTCTATTCTCCCATTATCTATTTTAATTTTTCTAGCAAGTTAGCAGTTATTTCAGCAAGTCTTGCCACTTATCTTTCCTAACACCCCTTTTTTCCTGATTTAATATATAAGGTTATCATTCAATAACTTGTGGAATCAGTTACAAGAATTCTAGGACAAAGTTTTAAAGTGTGTGAAGTTTACAGTATGTCATGTGACAGGCAACATGCTGTGAGTGTCCTTTCAACACATCCGCTCACTTACGTCAGACCTGACATACAAACCCACAGAGAGCCTAAGTGCAGCTGCTGACACAGTAGCCTCTACAGTACGGATGGGCTTTGGCATCCGCTGGACACTGTCCCTGAACAGCGATTGTCCAATCATAGCATAGCAACCGTAACTAAGCACGGCAGGCCTGTCAAGCTTTGATTTTGCTGAAGCAGTGTGCATGGTGCTGTAAAAGGAGCAATACTTGTCATTTTCACAGTTTATATTTGTATGTAACACTTGGATGCTATTTTATAAACAAACTCCAAAGCCACACCTGTGTGACACCTCCGACTGAGAGTCAGGAGGAGCTCTCCTGCTGTTTGTGCGATATCAGCCGGAATTATCTAGCAAGATCTCACCATGTCAGCTCAGTACACTGTTCCCTATCCAGCCTGTGTCACAGGAATGTGTCAGACAGACAGATAGACGGCTATAGACAGACAGGCAGCCTAAAAGACAGATATGTAAGCTTAAAAGAATGTACAAAGCCAAGCAGATGCATTTTTAAGTCAAAGACCTTTACACAGCCTATATCAGCGTTTTATGGTAAAATCTGGTCCAACCCATCTGTCATCTCATCCTTATCTCACCTTTTACCTCATTCTGTCGGTCTGTATTTGGAAAAATGACGCTGACAATCTGAATCTGCCAACTTCTGTACCCATGACTCCAATTTCTTATGTTTGTTCTTTCCTTTCCTTTCCTTTGCTTCTCTCAAATTGCCCCGTCACTCTTGCCTCACTGTGGTGCATTATTAAGAGGGATCATTAATCACTCCGGCTGCCCCGCCTGTCACTCCATCAGAGCACACGGCTGTTCCTGATGCACATGCACACATTTGATACACACAATAGTGCCGGTTCCACAGGGGGAGTTAGTCCCATCAATGTATGTGTATAAGGCCCTTAGAGTGAGAAATGAGGGTAGCCTTGGAGTGACAAAAGGCTGTTTTCCTTCGAGGAGGATATAACCAAGGTTTCAGGACCTGTCACACCGTGTTATACATAAATGGCTTTAGCGGCTCACATTTTCTGCACTAACAGTTGGTCATGTGTTTGCACCTGTCTTACAGCATGCATCATTGGTGGGTGGTTTCTTGTGTAGCTTGGGAGTAACTATACAGAATAAAAGCGACAGCTTAATGGTTGAGCATATTCAATATTATAAAACTTGTATGAGGTGGAGCAGCAGGACACCATTGCACACAAAAGGAAGAACAGAAAAGGACATGCTATGAAAGAGATAGTACAGATGAGTCATTGATAACTCACTGAACTACTAAAATACAGTCAAATACAGAGAAAAGAATACGGACTGGGGATACAGAAGAAATATAGAGAGAGGAAAGGTGAACACAGAGGTGGCGAGTGAACGAATGATGGAGGTAAACAAGTGGTGGGATGTTGACAGGAAGCAGGAATAAAGACAGGAGGAAGTAAGACAAAGAGAGTGTGAATTTTCTTTTGACAATAGTCAGAGAGACGGGAAGAAGTACAGGGAAAACCAAAGCTTATTTCCGCCCCAACTCAAATGCCAAGCCTGAGTGGGTGAGGGTGGAATCTTAAGCAACCATACATTTCCCTTGATGCTTTGCTAGGCCTGCCGCTGTATGTATACGAATGGGAGCTTGTAGTCCCATGTGAAGGGATATGGCACAGATCCCAACAAAAACAAGAAATCATCAGATTCAGAGACCACCATATGTGTGAGCTAGGGACAGTTTCATCCCACACAAACTCACACATTCAGGAAATAACATTTTGCTCCCTGCCTGAGAGGCTGAAGAAGATGCAGGTTATGAGGGAGGAGAACTTGCAATCGCTCTGCATTATAATGAAGTCTGCGATATGATGGAAATTGAATATGCAATGTACAAAATACCTATGGGAATGCAAATGTGCTTGTGCACTTGCAGTGTGAATTAAGTGTGAATGACATGGGCAGATGCTCCTGTGAGCGTTGAGCACACGCATGCATGCACATGGTATAGACTCATTAGTGCATACATCTGTGCAGACATCTCAACTCAAAACACACTCCAATGCTTTGATGATTTGTACTTAAGTGCTTTTATTTCATAGGATTTTGGTTTTATTTGTATATTATTTCCCCTTTGTTATATTTCAATTGAAGCATTTTATTTAAGTCAAAGCACTTGGTAATTGTTATTTGGAAAGGTACAATAC